CCGCAGCTGGAGCCGCCGCCACCGCCGCTGGAGAAGCAGCCGCCGCCGCCGCCAGAGGAGCCGCCACCGCAGCTGGAGCCGCCCCCGAAGGAGCCACCGCCGCAGCCGGAGCTGCCGCCGGAGGAGCCGCCGCCACCGTAGTACTTGACGCCCCCTCCGGAACCGCCTCCGCAGCCGCCAGAGTAGCCGCCGCCTCCGGAGGAGCCCCCACCGCAGCTGGAGCCGCCGCCGCCGGAAGAGCCGCAGCTGGAGCCGCCGCCGCCCGAGTAGCCGGAGCCGCCGCCGCCAGAGTAGCCGCCGCCGCCGCCTCCAGAGTATTTGACACCCCCTCCGGAGCCGCCACCGCCACCGCAACCTCCGGAGCCACCGCCTCCGGAGCCACCGCCGCAGCCGCCGCCACCGCCGCCGCCGCCGCTGCAGCCTCCAGAGCCGCCGCCTCCACTAAAGAAGCCACAGCCGCCGGAGCCACCGCCGCCGCCTCCACCGCTACTGCCACCACTGGACTTGCAACATGGGGGTATGGGAGTGGGTTGCTTTTTCTGATGAGACATCTTGTCTAGTGAGGAATAAGACTCTGGAAAGAGACAGGAGAGCATTATTGGACCAGCTGCAAAAGGATGAGGTGGAGGAGGAAGATGCATCCATGGCAACACCCATCACCCTGGAATTGCCCTCTGGCAGGGCCTGGCTGCTGCTCTGTTAGGATGCTGGACCTCAGCAGGGACTCCTAGGATGATTGCTTTTAGGAAGTGGCTGAGTACTACCATTGGAAGTCGTTAACAAATGTTGAACAATCCACTTGAGAGTACTTATTTCTCTCAATATCCTGGCTCATAGGCTTAGGTCTGCCTCGAACCTTTTCTGTGTAATTTTGGGGCAGTTCACATCAATCCAGACCCTAGTTCCTCATCTGTAAAATGAGAAGGTGGGAACACTTTATGTCTTAGGACAAAGTCCCAACGTAATTCTGATCTTTTGTGTACAAGTAGGAAGTTATCACAAACTTCTGTCCAGATTGGGAGATTTCTCTATCCTCAGCACAACCAAGAAAAGTTTGTTAAGCATGTCAAAGAGTTGTGTCTCCAAGCCTTGTAGAATTCTTGGCTTATACCTTTGAGTTAAACCAGAGGCCACTTAGCCTAAAAGACAGACTCCACTGTGGCCCTGCCTGGAGACAGGGTCAGGAGCATGTGAGCTCTGGTAGTCTGTCTCTTTAATCAGCATTTCTGACCAAAAGATACCTCTTAAGATATACTCAAGCTCAACTTAATAGAGGTGATGAGCTAGTAGGAGGGTACATCCCATAAGTTTTCTCTGTAACTATCTATGCAAAACAGGAATTAGATCCTATGATCTCTCATTTACAGCATCCTCTGAAACTTTCTTCTCACTCTGATGGTAGATGCAGTTCTCCTGCTGACAAGCTCAGGAGGTCCATCAAATCCATGTTCAAAATGCCTCTGTGCCTGGCATCATGTCTGCCCCAGCAGAGGTACCAGAATAACAGAAAATAGCCTCTTTGCATAGTTTATGTTCTGGGCAGAAGCTCAGTCCTGTCTCTTCCCTGCCTGCAAACCTTCTAAACTCTTAGCTCACTAGGCAAAGCAGAGGTATCATAGAACCCTAATGAGAGATAGATTCTCACCATCCCCAGGCTCACCAGCTTCTGCAGACCTGGGCAAGGCCAGCTGGGAAGAGAGGAGAGCCAGCAAACACTCGCTTACCTGAAGCACCAGGAAGGATGAGTGAGGAGAGAAGATGCTGGTGATGTGAGGAGCACTGGAGCTCCTTGAGTTTTATAGATGACTTCTTGTGAGTCATCTATTGATCCAGGCCAGCCTCTCATAGTTACGTGACCCGTGTCTGTCAGCCCCACCTCCTTGGATTGCAGGCACAGGGTGGCCCTTCCATGATTTTTGCATTCTTGAAATGGGCAGCCTAGTGACTTGCCCCTTCTCTGATGCAACTATGTGGCAGTCTGGCCAGTGGCGATGGCCAGCCAAAGTGGATAGCAGACATTGTTTCTGAAATCCCTGGTGCAGGGTGCATACCATAGCCAGAGGCTATACTTGAGAAGTCCAGAGTGTTGAGGCACTACTAAGAGTACATCCCATCGCTCTGAAAACCTTTAGAACTTTAAAAGAGAACCTGGTGCTGGAGAAGATTATTGAATGTACCATGGACTTCCAAGAAAACAAACAGATTCATCCTAGAGAGGTTTAAACCAGGCTACTCCTTGGAGGCAAAGATTCTGGGGCTTCGTCTGACATACTTTGGACATGTTGTAAGGAGAGACAGGTCTTTGGAGAGGGACATCATGCTGGGTAGAGTAGAGGGACAGTGCAGGAGGGGAAAACTCTCTATGAGGTGGATTGATTCAGTGACTGGGGTAATCGGGATGGGTGTGTCAGAGGCAATGCGATTGGCACAGGATAGAGCAGGGTTTAGGGCTGTTGTACATAGGGTCGCCATGAGTCGCAAACGACTCGACGGCACATAACAACAACAACAACAACAACAACAACAACAACATTAATCTCTTGCCACAGATTTCTCCCTATAGTTTCATAGGGCCTTTAATGACGTGTTTGTGCCCTGCCCATTGGGTTGTGAGAGCTCCTAAGTTGGGCACAAGTCTTCGGACTATACACTGCACACTGTGGGCAGTGCTATAGCCAAGGGAACACTGAGGGCTACTTTGAATGTTCCCATTTTACCTTCCCACCAACAATGTAGGAGAGACCTAGGGTTTTTTTTTCTTCTGCCTCCTCTTCAACATTTGCTAATTCTTTGTAAAAAAATTAGCTTCTTTAATATTTTGTACTGCTTTCAGTTTTTACCCCTTAGTGAAGTTACATTTGCTTTTAGCACGCGATAGGTTGATACTCTGAGGGTGAAATAGAATGTCATACATGTACCCATTGCCTTTTAAGGTATTAAAAATTGCCTTCCAAAGACTTCTAAATCTTGGAAAACTGTTTTCCAGTATTTTTTTCTTTTGATATCCTATGATCTTGTGCTGCAATATTGAGAGGCAATGAGAGGGAGTCATGGAGTGAACTAGATTTGAGGTGAGATGACCGGATGGGGGCACTTCTTTTGCTACTTACCACCTGTGTCACTGTGTGAAGTCATATCATGTTACTCAGTAGCTGGACACTGTAGGCACTTGATAAGGATTTCTTAAATGGACATACCGTCTTCACAGATTTTGAAGGAAGGATGGTTACGTAAAGTGCATGAGGTGGTGCTGTCCTTTTAATTGCTTTATCCAGTAAGAAAAGAATAATGAACAATTGCTATGGAGTTGTTTCAGACGCGTAGTGAACTCATGATTGTCAGGATAGAACTGTATTCTATAGGTTTTTCACTGACTGACTTTTCAGAGGTAAATATTCAGGCCTTTCTTCCAATCCAGTGTGCCTCTAGGTGGATTTGACCTGCCAGTCTTGTGGTTAGCATTTGAGTATGTTTATCCCAGAATCTCCTGTGACCACCCATCCTTTACTCCCAGTTCTGGTTTGTCCTTGGACATCAAAAGTAGGAGGGGGCCTGTGGATAGTTGAGGTAAAGGTAAATATTCTCCTATGAAAATAGCTCAAAACTTTCCTGTTGCCCCTGGACTGGTAGGAAGAATTATCTCTGAGAATGAAGACCAGCATGCTCCCCTCATCGTTTCATCACAAGAGCTCGGTTGCTGTTGTTCAAGATCGCACATTTCAGCGGGTCCCACCCAGCTATGTGTTGAAATGACAGCTCTAACAAGAAATTGCCTGTTAATTATGGTGGAGTTTTTAATGATCCAAAATGATCCCGAGTAGATTGTGAGCTTCAGAAACTTGTGGTGCTAGTTTAGTTTGGATGCCGTGAACCTTGGTGAACCCAGGAAGGACTCAGATGGTCCCTTCCTTAGAAAACACCCAAGGACAGAAAGGCTGTCATTCTCTGGAGAAGGCAGGTTCCTTGAAGCTGAGGCACCTTGGACACTTTTGAGGGAAATAGGCTTCAGTTATATGCCTGACATGGGGAGAAAAAATGGACAAATTTGATTAAGCCACAAGGTGTGGGTGTGGGTTGTGGTTCCTAACAATGAATTGTGGCTGTGGGTTGACCCTTGACCATGTGTTCACAAGTCTTAGGAACATTCTTTAAGTAAAAGAATGTCAACGTCACATTCTTGGGAAGGAAAGTCTTTTATTCTGAGGTCTTGGTCTTCCTCTCTTTCTAGTGGATATGTTGGTGTTTAAATGATTGTTTTTGTTATGTGCTGTCGAGTTGTCTACAACTCATAGCAACCCTATGTACAATAGCTCTAAACCCTGCTCTATTCTGTGCCAATCTTACTGTCTCTAACACACCTACCCCCATTACCCCAGTCACTGAATCAATCCATTTCATTGAGGGTCTTCCTCTATTGCGCTGTCTCTCCACCCTCCCAAGCATGGTGGCCCTCTCCAAGGACTGGTCTTTCCTTGCAACATGTCCAAAGTATGTCAGACAAAGCTTCAGAATCCTTGCCTCCAAGGAGCAGCCTCATTTCACCCTCTTTAGGATGAACCTCTTTGTTTTCTTATCAGTCCATGGTACAGTTAATACTCTTCTCCAGCACCACAGCTCAAAGGCATCAAGTCTCCTTCTATTCTCCCTAGTCAATGTACAGCTCTCTGATTCATAGCAAGTAATTGCAAAGACCTTGGCCTATATCAGTAGCACCTTAGTCTCCAGACTGATATCATTGCTCTTCAGTACTTAAACAGATCTTTTTAAAATATGGTAACAGTAGGTTGTAGTTGTTCATTTAACATCCTTACGTGTCAGAATGAAAATTTGCCAATCATGATTGTTCCACCTGTTTTTACTTCTCTGTGAAACATCAGAGTTTGGGAGTCTCAGACTCAGGTGACCCCAATCTCCCAATCATCTTCAACCTGTGTAGGTTGGTTTTGATGGGTTATGAGTTTTTGAGAGATGATTTCATTTATTTCTATCAGATTTGAAATCTTAATACTTTCATTCACTAATTCATCCAATATTAATATACTTGGAACTATGCTGTGCATAGCTGGACATAGGTTCCCTTGGTAACTTTGGGGCACGAGGATGCCTACCACTTTAATAAGAAAATGAATAATGTCTAATCAGGAAAAACTAGTGAAAAGGCTATGGTTAACCAATACTGACAGTGGTACTGGATCTTGTGCCTCTCAGCCCCAAGCTGGCTTTGCTGTGAGTAAATAAATCTGATTTTCCTCTTTATTCCTCCAAACTTTTATTCCTAATGGAATGTCTTTGTGGACAGCGGCAGCTGGTCACACTTTAACATATCAGTAAGAAAAGGACGGAGAGTTATGACACATAGGTATTTGGAGTTTTGTAAGGCTTGCTGTGTCAGATTTTCAGTGTGATAGCCTTTAGAGACTTAACCCTGAAATGGATGCTGCAACCTGACAGATTAAGACATGGTTCTTGACTGTACTTTTATCCTTAGGAGGGATCTTGAAGGAAATGCTTCACAGTGCTCAACATGCCCTAGGAGTTAATAGATGCTCAG